CACGTATATCTATCTATCTGTTTATGTATGTATGTACTATTATATCTATATTATACATATACACATGCACACACACACACACACACACACACACACACACACACACACACCACACACACACACACACACACACACACACACACACACACACACACACACACTCACACACACACAAACACAGACACACACACACACGCGCACACATACACAACACACACACACACACACACACACCACGCGCGCACATATATAATATATATAGTACAAGTATACACACATCGTTCACGTATTTATATGTTTAACAGCAAAATAAAAAAAATTCTCAGGTAGGAGGTGTGGCGTGCGAAGTGGAGAGCTGGAGCGAAAGCAAGATCACCTGCGCCCTGCCCGCCTTGCCACCTGGGGAACACGCCGTTCTCTCTCTCGCTGGGGGCTCTGGGCGTTTTCTCTGTCTCTCTCTGTCTCTGTCTCTGTTCTCTGTCTCTTCTCTGTACTCTCTTTCTCTCTGCTCTATCTGTTCTCTCTCTCTCTCTCTCTCTTTCTCTGTCTCTGTCTGTCTGCCTGTCTCTCTCTCTATCTCTTTATCTTTCCCTCTCTCTCTCTTTCTTTCTTTCTCTCGCTCTAACTGTTCAACTTCTATCTTATATTTTTTTCCAGTACACTTTCAAAATATTGAGGTGTATTTGAACATATTTTTTTCCAGTATATATATTGAGCTGTATTTGAAGCATGGATGATCATTTGCCAATTCCCTCAGCGGATCCGCCAGCGTCACTTACAACCTGAAGGTGAGCGGATTCTCCCCGCGTCGAGGCTCGGTCAATGGCGGGACGACCGTGGCCCTCAGAGGTCGTGGCTTCGGCGACGACTGCTCTCTGTTGAAGGTCACGCTTGGGGCAGCCATGACCTGTGAAGTGATGACCTGTTCCGACGACCTGGTGACCTGTGTGACGAAACGGAGGCGCGTCGATCATGTCGTCAACAGTACGGGAACACACTACAGTAAGTAGAAGGAATTTCTTTTACCAGCGCTGATGTAGCGATGCAGAATGAAGGGAAAGAACGAGCAAATAAACCAAAGACAAAGAAATACACAAAAAAAGGAAATTGAATATTGTGTCCGAATGCACTTTAGGGAGAGTAGTTATAAACACCATCAACACGGCTGATATTATTCCATTATGAAAGCTCTGGAAACGCTCCCTCTCTTTCACAGAATACGGCGAAGGATACGCGTGGGCGCCAGGAAGTCTGCACATAGACGCCGGAGACACCGTGACGTGGTCCTGGGGGAGGGAGGGCAGCAGGGGGCCAATTTCGACGCCCCTGTACAACGTGTTCCAAACGGCGTCCCCGGCAGGCAGCACGTACGACGGCGCTGGGTTCCACTCGGGTCCTCCCTCCAGGCGAGGTGGGCGTCGCTCGTGCCCGCTGTTCGGGGAGGGGGGGGCTGGGGTCGCTAGTGGTCATGATTTGTAATGACAACACACACACACACACACACACACACACACACACACACACACACACACACACACACACACACACACACACACACACACACACACACACACACACACACACACACACACACCACACACACACACACACACACACACACACGCACACCCACACACACAGAACACACAACACATAGACACACCGATCTATATCTATCTATCTACCTATAAACAATCCATCTATCTATCTCAGGTGGTCTGTCTGTCTAACTATGTATAAAAACAACAGCAGATGAACAGGTAGACCAGTAAGTTCATTTTTCTCATTTCTTGGATCTGACTAAGAAGCCAAAATTTCGTCTCAAACCACTCTTTCTCTCTCTCTCTCTCTCTCTCTCTCTCTTTCTCTCTCTCAACAAACGACTCACAAGCTACCTTTGGCTCCTTTCTTTTCTTTATCTATTTATTGATTTATTCTTTTCATTCACTCTTCAGGATCCTTCAGTGTGAGATTCCCTGAGGCGGGGACTTTCTTTTACGCCGGCGAGGCTATGCGGAACGGCGCCATCTTGTCCGGGGTCGTGGAGGTCAGCGAACCCGAGGAGAAGGCGTACGAGGTCAAGGTCACACTCGGGACTTCGAGCCGAGTACGACGTCATTTCGGAGGAGGTAAGGGGAATGGAGGGAAAGAGGGAGTGAGGTAATGGAATGAAGGAGGAGGGAATGAGAAAATGGAATACAGAAGGAGGGAAAGAGAAAATGGAATTAAAGGAAGAGGGAAAGAGAAAATGGAATAAAGGAATAGGGAAAGAGAAAATGTAATAAAGGAGGAGGGAAAGAGAAAATGGAAGAAAGGAAGAGGGGAAGAGAAAATGGAATAAAGGAGGAGGGAAAGAGAAAATGGAATAAAGGAAGAGGGAAAGAGAAAATGGAATAAAGAAGGAGGGAAAGAGAAGATGGAATAAAGGAGATGGGAAAGAGAAAATGGAGTAAAGAAGGAAGGAGTGAACTAATGTAATGAAGAAGAAGCGCAGGGGAAAATGAGCTTTTCCGATTCAATTGGCAACGCTTAAGAAGGTCGTTCGCAATATATATGTATACTTTTATATAATTATATGTTTTTTGTATATATCCCGTCATTCACGCGTCTATCCATCTAACCATCAACCCAATCATCATCCGTCTGTCAATTCATTCAACTATTCATCCATTCAGTCATACGTACGTACATGGTGTGTGTGTATGTGTGTGTGTGTGTGTGTGTGTGTGTGTGGTGTGTGTGTGTGTGTGTGTGTGTGTGTGTGTTGTGTGTGTGTGTGTGTGTGTGTGTGTGTGTGTGTGTGTGTGTGTGTGTGTGTGTGTGGTGTGGTGTGTGTTGTGTGTGTGTGGTGTGTGAGTGAGATGGAGAGAGAGAGAGAGAGAGAGAGAGAGAGAGAGAGAGAAGAGAGAAGGAGAAGAAGAGAGAGAAGAGAGAGAGAGAGAGAGAAGAGAGTGTAGATAGATAGATAGATAATAGATAGATAGATAGATAGATAGATAGAATAGAGTAGAGAGATAGATAGATAGATAGATAGAAGATAGATAGAGAAGAGAGAAGATGGAAGAAGAGAGAGAGAGAGAGAGAGAGAGAGAGAGAGAGAGAGAGAGAGAGAGAGAGAGATAGATAGATAGATAGATAGAAGACAGAGAGAGAGAGAGTGAGCAGAGAGAGATAAAGATAGATAGAGAGAGAGAGAGAGAAGAGAGAGAAGAGAAGAGACAGAGAGAGAGAGAGAGAGAGTAGATAGATAGATAGGACAGACAGAGAGAGAGAGAGAGAGAGAGTAACAAGTACATACAACACGAGTGTTTATAACTCACCTCTTCATGTCGCGCAATCCTTCCAGAAGTGACACGAATCTAGGGAGACTGCGACCGACCTCTAACCCCCCCGAGTGGCTGCCAACCCCGCTCCCCCAACCCCCGGGGCCGCTGGGGTTGTCTTTACCACGCTCAGGTGTCTCACCCCCGTCGTCACAGCGGTGTCCGTCGCCGAGGGATCCGGACTCAGGTGGGTTTTCATTGGCTGAATTTTCTTTATTTTTTTCTGTGCGTTTGTTTCTTTCCCTCCCCCTCTCTTTCTGTCTTTGTCTCTGTCTGTCTGTCTGTCTGTCTGTCTGTCTGTCTGTCTGTCTGTCTGTCTGTCTGTCTGTCTCTGTCTGTCTGTCTGTCTCTCTCTCTCTTCTCTCTCTCTCTCTCTCTTCTCTCTTCTCTCTCTCTCTCTTCTTCTCTCTCTCTCTCTCCTCTCTCTCTTCTCTCTCTCTCTCTCTCTCTCTCTCTCTCTCTCTCTCTCTCATTCTCTCTTTCTCTAAGTTCGATGTGTTTATATTATTAGTATAGTTATATCAAGCGTGATCAGCTTACGGATGACTTGTATGTCACACTCATTTTTCAAGGTATCGTAGTTTTGATATAAACGCCTTTCTCTTTCATAAAGCAAATTAAAAAGGAAATATACGCACATTTATTAATTCATGCGCAATCAAACTCATGAAGCCATAAAAGTAGATAATCAACTTAATATAAAAACTGCCTCTCACAGCGGGCATCAAGTGACCCCAGGAGCGACTCTAACCATCAAGGGGTCAAACCTCGGGTCATCGCCGTGCCAGACCAAAGTGACCCTCGGGCCGGGTTCATGCGAGGTCACAGCGGCCAAGGAAGACGTCTTATCCTGCGTCCTTCGGGAGGTGTCTGATATGGTGTCCCTCGTCCCTACACCCGTCACCGTCGTCGTCTCCGGCAGGTAAAGGGGGGAGGAGGGAGGGGGTGGAGAAAGGGAGGAAGGAAAACTCAGACTAAAAGAGGAGATAAAAGACAGGAAGAAATAACGTTTGGTATTTTTGACGCACGAAAATGACTGTTATCGCTTGTTTGAATTGATTTGATTTCATTTTTGATACTTGAAGATCAATGAAGAAAGATAAGAAAATACCCAATACTTACACTAATCAAATGGATATAAATGATTTTATAATTTAAAGTGTGAGATATTTAAATAAACTCAAATATATTGTAAAAAAAAACTTACCTACAGAGGCATCGCCACCCTCGACACGAGTGGGCGTGAGAGTCTCCTCACCCTCATGCCGTCCATCACCTCAGTCAGCCCACGAGAAGGGTCGGTGGGCGGAGGAACCCTTGTGACCATCAAAGGTGCGTTTTTTCTTCACTTCAGCGATGTCGAGCTGGTTATTTTCTGTGCAATCACCCGATAACAAATTAAATTTCATGGTTGGGTGAGAGATAATTTGCACTGAAAAGAATTATGAATTAGGTAAATTATTCTGTGAAATTACCCGATAACGAATTATATTTTACTATTGGGTGAAAGATAATTTGCGATGAAAAGAATTATATATTAGGTGAATTATATTGTTGTAAAGTATGGGTTAGAATCATATGAATAAGACCATTCTGTACCGTTTCCAGGCACGGGTTTAAGGGCTCTCGACGCCGTGGTGAAGGTCGAACTAGGTCAGAGCCCATGTCGAGTGGTGAACCTGACCTCCACCGTCGTCACTTGCATCACAAGCCCCGTTGCAGCTCCTGGAACGGTCACTCTCGCCCTCTTCGTCTCCTCCGGAATGGTAAGACTCTCCCTGGTTTATAATCATCAGGTTTCGGTGTTCTAACTGGGAGATAAACTGATATGTGAGTAACGGTGATTGCAGTAAGTCAAAGCTTCATCATATTTATTAAGAAGGGATGTCTGTACTATGTTCTTAGAGTTTTATAGTCTTCGCTATATATCCAGCTGTCACTCAGGAAAATATAATAACCAGGTACTTTACCTTGACCGTTATCTCCACTCAGGTGCCAGCCCTTAGCGAAGCGGTAAACACATTCTCCTTCGCGGAAACCGCAACGCCATCTGTCCGAAGCGCGGGCGTGTCGAGCGGCAGACTGGTGATCAACGGCTCTGACTTCGGCTCCGAGTCGTCCCGAGTCAGCGTCACCCTCACCAGGATTTCGGCGGCTAGGCGGAGGAGGAGCCTCGAGGCACTGGCGACGGAGGAGGAGGGACTCGGCTCTGGCGACGCGTCCGAGCTCTTTGGTGCTGACTTCGAATCATCCAGCGATTTCTGGAAGTCGGTCACTGGGACACACACAGCGTCCTTCGAGGAGATCGCGGCGCGAGGGGCGTGGCGGGTGGCAGGGAGCGCCAGGACGAAGGAGGGAGAAAGGACATCGCGAATAAAACGTCAGACGAGGGAGGATGAAGTCACTTCGCAGAAATGCAAGATTATCCTTCTGTCTGATACGTCGATCGTCTGCGACACGAGCCTCGTCGCAGCCGGCCATTACGAAGTCTCCGTCGGCGTGGAGGGTGTCGGCAATGCCCTGACTCACGAGGACGCCGCCCTTGTCACACTCGTGCCCCTCGTAGACAGCGTGACCCCGGGGCAGGGCAGCGTGCACGGCGAGTCCCTCCTGACCATCACGGGCGCAGGATTCTCACCCGAGGACGTGGCTGTGGCGGTCGGCGGCGTCGCGTGCCCCTTGGAGAGCCAGTCGGTGACGTCGCTGACTTGCCGCTCCCCCGTGCACGCGGAAGGGCTCGTTGATGTCGTGGTCACTTCGGCAGGTCTGGACGCTAGTGCGGCGTCGAAATACGCCTACACCGTCGCCAAGACTCCGGTCCTTCGTCGTGTCAAGTGAGTTCTGCTTATCTGGTAATGTGCGTAATGTATATAGATATTACGAATCTGATGATGATTTCCGTAGCAATCACAGCCGACAATTGCAGGGGAGGCTATTTGCGTATGTCAGGGAAATTATGGGGTAAAAAGGCTGAAATAAGAATAGAGAACAAAAATGAGTTAAACCAGCACAAAAACGGTTAAAATCGGCTAATTAAACTCTACTGACGTGTTCGCCATCTTTGAAAGTCTACAGACCGACGCGACAGCTTAAAAAAAAAAAGAGAGAGAGAGAGAGAGAGAGGAGAGAGAGAGAGAGAGAGAAGAGAGAGAGGAGAGAGAGAGAGAGAGAGAGAGAAGAGAGAGAGAGAGAGAGAGAGAGAGAGAGAGAGAGAGAGAGAGAGAGAGAGAGAGAGAGAACGGAAACAATCCATCTTTCGGTAAAATCTACCACCCAATACGTCCTGACCAATAAAGCAACCTAATTCCTTGTCACAATCTTTATTCGACAATCTAAGTGGCCGTGACTAGGCTTGCTCCTCGAGCACTGCCCTCCCACCCTTCTTCCTTCCCTCCCTCTTCTACCACCTTCATCTCTTCCTATCGTCCTCCCTTCTTCACCCCCATATCCTCAGCCACTCTCCTTTTTCCCTCCCTCCACCTTCCTCCCTTCTTATCTCCTTCCCTCTTCCACCCCATTTCTTCAGCCACTCTCCCTCCCTTCTTCCATCCATTTCCTCAGCCTCTCTCCTCTGATCTCACCTATCTCCTTCGTCGCCTTCTTCAGACTGCAGAAGGGAAGGACCCTGCGTGTGGAGGGAGAGGGCCTTTCTCCCTCTGGCGATGCCCCCGAGGTCTTGGTAGGGGGCGTGGCATGTCCTGTCATCAGCCACGACAACAACTACATCACCTGTCACGTAAGCCATTGTGTGTCAGATTAATTAATTATTTGTTAATTATCTTGCCTTCCTATTTGTGTGTTTATATATCCATTGGATTTTATTTCAAGGATCCTTTTGTTCTTTCATATTCTCTCTTTCATTTATGATCTCTGTCGCCCCCTTCTCTCTCTTTCTTTCTCTTCCCCTTCTTCTTCCTCTCTTGTTTTCCTCCCTCTTCCCCTTTTTATCTACCATCTCTCCCCCGTCTCTATTTCTGTTTCTCCTCCCCTTCTGCTCCCTCTTTCCTCCTCTTCTCTCCCTTTTATCCATAATTTCATTTCCTTCCCAATCAGTATCCTCAATTGGCGTGAGGATCACACACCTTGTGCAGGTGCGCGACCCCCAGGAAGCTCGCAATTAAAGTGACCTGAAGGATAACCTTTGACCTCGACGTTCACTGACATTCTCGCCTGAGGAGGGTTCAGTATACATTTTTTTCTTGAAGTTGATCGGTATGTTGCCCACCAAATTATTTTCGTGTTTTTGTTTTTTAAGTATCTATTCAAATGATCCTAACTATTTTATAATAGATTTTTCAAAGCTCTCAGTTTGCCTGTCATTAGCGTCGTCATTGCTCAAAGAAGAAAACAGAATAATAATTTAAATAAACGAAGAGAAGCGGCAATATAAAAGAAAAGGAATTATCGGTGTGTGTGTGGAATTTTTCTCACATCAACTCTACGAGATTTATACGGAAATAACAACCGACCTCACTATTTGGTATGTTACTAGGTAGCTTTGGCGGAGCTTGAAAGTTGAGCAAAGTGCGTTGTAAAAGATCGGTTATACGATAATAATCTCTGAAGCAGATAATCTGACGTCCACTATTTTGTGACAGAAGGTGTGTGACTCACCAGCTCTACTTTTACCTAACCATTTAAGGTGCATGGACGTCATCAAAGGGCTCATGGATAAGGAGGTGAGTAACTTGTAGAAGTAATATTAGTGTAAGAGGTACGGAGAAGAGGAGAAGAGTGGATTCGAGAGAATAGAGGAAAGAGAGATAGTGAGAGAAAGAGGATAGAGAGGAAAGAGGAATAGAGAGAAAAGGAGAATAGAGGGGGAAAAGGAAAAGAAGAAGGAAATAGGAGAAATAGGGAGTGTAATGTTGACTGATTCGCCACAGAACGAGGAAAATGGAAAGCACGCCATCTAATATGCAGGTTAACAGTTCAACGAAGAATATAAACACAGGATATTTTATGACTAAATAAGCTAGTTATCCCGCCACACCGCAAAGTAAAAAGAACAACAAGGAAGGTATCTCACATGGAATATATGTGAGAGCGTCACTGAAGTCAGTATATGATTAGCATAAATATCCAAACCATTCAATAGGAAAGCAAATCTCTACCGCAATTCACAAGCAATAATTGGAAAGGAATTTGAAAAGTATTCTTGGGGCAGCGGAGCGGATTAATTCTGACTTGAATGACAAATAAGTACCATTTTTTTTCCTCCTCTTGGACCCACACTTTCACCTCGGCAAACTCCGCAATGCCAATGATAATCGATTTATTGTATAATTGTACGATAATAATGTTGACTTGAAAGACGAATGAGGACTGTTTTTTCCCTCCTCTTGGACCCACACTTTCACTTTTACAAACTACGCTAGGCCAGTGATAATAGATTTATTGCAACTTTTACAAACATGAGACGCGATATGGCCGAAGTGGAGTAGATCGAATTATTGCGTAATCATTGATGAGTGAAAATTGAAGATTGATATTTTTCCACAGTACCGCTTCTCATAGACACAACTTGTCCCTCTTCCTTTCACTTTTACAAACTCCGCGATAGGCCAGTAATCGGAGAAGTTAGTTGTATGAATTAAATCTTGAATAATGGATGGAATATTTTCCGACTCCGCCTCATACACTCAATGTGCCGCAACTCTATTCACTTTTTGACAAAACTACGCGATATGCGCGAGTAAGTGCGAGAATGAAGAAGATGAGTGACTGTAGAGAATGATTAAGATAATTAAGAGAGATATGTATCCACTCCCGCTGATTCATCACAATGTCCCTCTCTTTCACTTTTACAACTCCGCGTAGGCCAGTAATCGAAAGAAGAATATTGATATTATTAAGATATTTAAGATGATATTTTCGCACTCCCGCGATTCAGTGCAAACATGTCCTCCCCTTTTCATACTTTTACCAAACCTCCGCGAGGCCCAGTGAATCCGAATTATTGTATTATTTAAGATAGTTTAAGATGATATTTTACCACTGCCGCATTCATCACAACGTCCATCTCATTTCACTAGTTTACAGAAACTCCGCGAGTAGGGACCCCAGTATTCGAATTATTGTATTATGAAGAAGAGATTCGAGATGATGGTAACCAGCATCCGCATTCGATCCCATTGGAGCCCTGACGCCGATCTGAGACAGGAAGACCGAGAAGAGGAGCGAGTGCGGACGTGGTGGTGCGGAGAATCCTGCCTTACGCCGAGCAGCGCCCGCGTGACCGAGAAGAGGGCTCCACGAGACATGACACACAAGGAAGGCTTCGTATACCAGTTTGAGGGCGAGGACTAGCTCACGGCACCTTCGTCAGCGGAGGACAAATGACTCTCCTGCGCCGGAGGTTGGCCACTGCTGGGGTAGGCACTTCGTGTCACATAAGTTAGCATTTGAGAGCAACATGGAGGAGGAGTATGTGAGGTGAAGAGATTGAATAAATAATGTAGAGAATATATACATACGAGATACAATGAGCAATATATGTAGTATAAATATTATTCTCATATGTAGAAAGAATAAGAATGGAGTGTAATTTATATATGACTATATATATAATATTAGAGAGAAGAAGGTGAGAGCAGATGTTGGATGATAGTTTGAGAATATAGTATATAGAGATATATAAGTAATATAGTATGATATATAATATGAACTATATAGATATATAGAAGTAGTATATATATGAATTATATATAAAAATAAATAAATAAAGTAAAGTATAGGATATGATAGTAGTAAGATGATAGATATTGAAGAGATTAGAGAATATATAGAAATGATATAGAAGTATATATGAGATATGATATTATAGTATAGTGAGTGAAGGAGTGTATGTATGTATGTATTTATTAGATGAGATATATATATGGTATAATATATATATTAATAGATAGAGATAGCGTATATAGTAGTATAGAGGTAGAAGACGAATGATATGTAATATAATGTGAGATAGTGATTATAATATACATGATTACAACATAGATGAATAGCGAATAGATGTAAGAAGAAGAAGATTTCATGCCTGTAAAATTAAGACCAGAAGAAATTATTGTCATGCTGTAGTGTATGATGTAAATAGATAAATTAAGTGGAGTTTGTATGTATGTATGTATATGGTCACACAGTTACACATATACTATATTAATTAACATAATGTGTAAAGAATATAAAGCATACTCACATATGTATGTTAATAAATATGTATCCTTAAATAGATAGAGATAGAATAGTGAGAGCGAGTAAATGTCGCTGAATATACTATACTATAGAGTATGAATATATGAAGAATATGATATATATAGAGTATGAATAGATGAGTAAATAGAGAAAGATAGAGATAGAGAGGAAGAGTAATATGATATATATATATACTATATTATTAATATAGAAGTAAGAAATATAGCAAACATATGTGTGTGAGTGTGCGAATGTGTATGGTGAAGTATGAGAAGATGTCTATTTCGAAGAGTCTGAATTCAATCAGGTCTGTTTATGCAAATTTCCATTGATAGAAATTGTCCATCATGTTAAAAACCACTTTTCTTCAATCGTGGTTCAATCGTATTAGAAAATTTTAGGAGACCAATAGTTATTTACGTCATAGTGATTGTTCATTCCGCATCGAGAAGGCGGGCGAGACTGAAAAGAAATGTAATAAAAGTATATACATATGGTCAATACGAATAAAATCGAGGAGAAACAACGACAACATTGCAACATGAACAAGACAGATAACGTATAACAGAGAAAGCAGAGCTGCGAAACCGTGTGACTTTGTGCGTGTTTGGGGACAGCAGGGTGTGCAGTTGGCAGAACAGCAATAGTCTGCCATGACGGCGGCGCCCCGGGTTGCTTTAGGAACGGTGGCGAGGAAGAAGCAGAGCCACTGAGCATGAAACGAATGTGAATAGTGACGAAGAGGCAGCGATGCGCCGCGAGGAGAATATCGGTCGGCTCGTTCTTTCATAAGATGACAGAAGTTGAGCTTGCTGTCTCTAGAGTTGGTAAGCCACGGCTCTCGGTTTGGTTTTCCTAGAATTTTTAATATTTTTATTTATGGGGGGGTGTGTGGTGAGTTGGCCATTCCTCTTTTTTATTCCTTCTTCCTCCTCCTGGTTTCCCCTTAATTTGCTCTAACTTTTTCGTCCTTCCTAACTTCCAATCTGCCCGTCACACATTTCTCCTTACATGACTAATTTTGGGTTTCCTACTTTTCCTCCTTGGGTTCACTATCAACTCTCTTAAGGGAAATATGGGACTTATGCATCGCAGTGATGGAGTGCTGAGTGACCGAATACTGTTCCCTCTTTCTCTCTTGTCCTCCTCTTCCATTCCCGTCCCTTTCACTTTAGTTTCCCTTCCGTCTTCCCTCACTTTTCCTTTCTCCTTTTTCCTTCTTTTAATAAGGAGACTTAAAACAACCATTACTGGTAGTCTCTGTTATTGCCAGCTGACATCATATATTCATTCTTAAGAGACAATAATTATCTAATCATTATCTTCATCTTCAAATTCTATCATAAACTCATTTACACATTCATTTCTTTCTTTGTATATGACTTTTATATGCGTCCGTGTCCCCTCCCGTTCATTCCTTCCTTCCATCTCTCCCTCTCCTTCCCAGGCCGAAGGAACCCACTACAGCTACTTGGACCTCTGGAGTTCTCGCTTCACGTGGGGCGGCGAGGAGGTGCCATCCGAGGGCCAGCTGGTCGTGGTGGAAAAAGGCCACACCGTCTACCTGGATCAGTCCACGGAGGTGCTCAAGATGCTCCTCATAAAAGGTGGGCGGGGAGAGGGGTGTGCATGTGTGTAAGGAGGGAGGGAGGGAGGGAGGGATAGGAGAGAAGGTGAGAGAGAGGAGAAAGAAAGAAGGGGAGAAGAAAGATGAAGAAGGGGGGGGGGGTAGGGAGAGAAAAGGATAGAGAAGAGGAGAGAAGAAGAGAGGAGTAGGAGAGAAGAGGAGGCGAGAGGAGAGGAGGAGAGAGGAAAGGAGAGGAGAAGAGAGCAGAGCAGAGGGAAGGAGAAAAGAGGAGGAAAAAGGAAAACAGACAAAGGAAAGGGAGAGAGAAAAAAGACTAAAATCTAATATATACATGAATCAAGAATACTCCACTTCAAACCGCCCACCTCTTCCACCCAGGAGGCCACTTACTGGTGGACCCGGAGGCGACGTCGGAGGTGGTGCTGAGGGCCGAGTACATCCTGGTGGTGGACGGCGGGGCGCTCAGCATCGGCTCGGAGGAGGACCCGTTCGAGGGCCAAGCGACCATCGAGCTCCACGGCAACGCGAGGTCCATCCAGCTGCCGGTCTTCGGTGCCAAGGTGCGTCTGGGGTGCCACGTCTGGGGTGCCACGTCTGGGGTGCCACGTCTGTTCAGGGAAAGAGAAAGATTGATATGAGGAAATAGATCGAGAGATAGGTCGTGATACTGAGAAGGATGAAGAGAGAAAGGCATTCTGAAATTGAAGGGAGCGAATGTGTAAATCGATAAAGATAGGTTTATGTGCTGATATTGATGCATAAATGGATAAAAACATCCGTCTATCCATCCATCCATCATCCGTCCGTTTATCCATCCATCCATCCGTCCGTTCATCCATTCAACCAACCATCCATATATCTATTTATTTAACCATCTATCCATCCATCCACCCACCTATCCACCCATCCACCCATTCATCCATCCGATTCATCCATCAACCATTCATCATCCATCCATCCATCCCATCCATCCATCCATCCATCCATCCCATCCATCCATCCATCCATCCCCATCCATCCATCCATCCCCATTCATCAATCCATATATCATCCAACCATTCATCCATCCATCCATCCATCCATCCATCATCCATCATCCATCAATCCATCCATCCATCATCCATCACCACCCACCCACCCACCCACCCATATCCACCCATCCATCCATCCACCCACCCATTCATCCATCCGTCCATCCCATCCCATCAATCCATCCATCCCACCCTACTGACGGTATCTTCCTCCGTCAGGTGCTCGCGGTGCGCAACGGGACGCTCGACCTGCACGGCGCCCCTGTGTCCGTTCCATGGACGCGCTTGGCCCTGCCCGCCGCCCCTGGGGACCGCTCCCTCAGGCTCGAGACGCCCGTCGCCTGGCGCCCCGGGGACTCCATCGTCCTCGCCTCCACGGAGAGAAGGTGAGACGGGGCGCTAGAATTTTAAGTCCGTATGTGCTATGAAGTTGAAAGTTTTTTTTTAATCAGATGAATATTCCTTGGTCAAATATCGGTGTGTTTTTAGGATGATGAAATAGATAATCTGCAAATTCTGCATGAAAACAAGTTGTATATACTGATCTCACACAATCATGAAAAGGTATTTATGTAAGAGAATTTGCTGGAGACAAGTCCAAATAATTTTCCCCGTCTCTCATTTTTTCTCTCTTTTCATCTCTTTCCTTTAATTCTATTCTCCTCCTCATTTTCTACTCCCCTGTCATCCTTTCCCCTTGCCTACTCACCTTTTCTCCACTCCCTTCCTCTCCTCGTCTCCCTCCTCCTCGCTCCTTCCTTTACTCCTCGCCTCTCTTCCTCTTCTCATCGCCTCCCTTCGTTTACTCCCCTCTCTTCCTTTTCTCGCCTCCCTTCCTTTCTCCTCTCCTCTTCCTCCTCCCATCTTCCCTTCTCTCCCTTTCTTCCCTTCCTTTCACCCGTCATTTTCCCAATCAGATTCTCCACCAACGAAAACGAACAGCTGACGATCGAAAGCGTGTCGCGCGACGGCCGCACCGTAACCGTGACGGAGCCTCTGCGTCACCACCACGTCGCGTTACGCCAGACGCTCGGCGGACGCGTGGTCGACACCCGCGCGGAGGTCGGCCTTCTGTCGCGCAACGTCAGAATCCGCGGGGTCGTGAGCGCGGATTTCGCCGATGACGTCATAGAGCCGTGCGGGGGGAAGTGGAGTCCGGGTGAGTGGTTTGTTTTGTTTGTTTGTTTTGTTAGATTACATGTGTGGCGGAGGATTTGTTAGGTATGAGTAGGAAATTTGCACTTGTATCTTTCTTTCAAGTACATGGGAATGCTTATGGATATGGTTTGCTTTATCCCGGCTATAATTACCTAAAAAGTAAGAGAAAAATCGGAAACAAGAAAAGAATCCATAGCATCAGTTCAAAGATCATACCAATGTAAGCAAAATATAAAATACTACCAGGCACCACAGTAGACCTGTAAATTGTCATCGCCACACAACACCTCATGTCCCACTCCCCTTTCACCCTCTCATTCCTAAAAGAAAAAAATCTCCAACATCTTTCTATATCCTACCCTCGCATCCTATATCGTACCCACATCCTATACCCTACCCTCTTATCCTATATCTACCCTCTGACACCCACTTCCGACTTTACCCCCTCCCCCAACACCACCATCCCCCGTGGAAACAACCCTAACCCCTTCCTCTCCCTTTCCCCGACCCACACCCCCAGCGAAGCACCCGTAACCCTCCTCCTCCACCCTCCCTAGACCCCACCCCTCGTGAAGCACCCTTAACCCCCCTCCTCCCCCTTCCCAGGCCAGTTCAAGACGGCGCCCTGCTTCAACGGGAACTTCGGCGCGGAACTCGGCAGCGACATGTTCGGCGCGACGGTGATGCTGGCGCCCGAACGACCCGACGAGGAGACCGTGGCGGCGCGGTTGCAACACGTCGAGATCACGCAGGCCGGGCAGGTAGGGGAGGGGGAAGGGGGTGGGAGAGGGGAGGGGGAGGGGAAGGGTGGAGGGAAGGGGAGGGAAGTAGAAGGGGGATGGGGGGGGGGGGGGAAGAGGGAGGAAAGGGGGAGGGAAGGGGGAGGGAAGGGGTGGGAGGGATGGGGGGGAAGGGGGAGGGAAAGGGGGAGGAAGGGGGAAGGGAAGAGTGGGGGAGGGAAGGGAAGGGGGCATAAGAAGTGCTGGGGCAGGTAGAAATGCGTGGGGGTTGGTAGGGGAGATGGACGGATGGAGAAAATACAGATAGACTATCTAGAGCGAAAGAAAAGAAAGAAAAAAAAAAAAAAATAAACAAGCAAAACAAGTCATAACCCGCAATTCTCCTTCCTGACTCTTTTTTCTCGACTCCCATAGGCCTACCAGATCGGACGCTACCCGCTGCACTTCCACATGCTCGGCCGCGTCCGCCGCTCGTACGTCCGCGGCTGTTCCGTCCACCACTCGTACAACCGCGCCATTACCGTGCACGCCACCAGCGGTCTCACGGTGGGATCGAACGTCCTCTTCAACACGTTCGGACACGCTCTCTTCACCGAGGATGGGAACGAGGAGGACAATGTGTTCGAATACAATCTCGCTGTCTTCACTCGCTTGTCTTCTGCTCTCCTCAACGCTGATCTCACGCCCGCCTCCTTCTGGGTGAGTGGGGGAGAGTTTTTTTTGGAGGGTTTGATGATAGTAGTGATGGTGACAATGAGGATAATGATATAATTTTAGTTGTTGATGGCAATAACAGTACTAATACTATTTGCCTCACTTTCCTCCTCCTCCTAACATATCCTCACCCATCCTCTTTCTCCTCATCCGCCATTCTCATCTTGCTCCTCCCTCCTCCCTCCCTCTTCTTCCTCCCCTCTTCTTCTCTCCTCCCCCTCCTCCCTCTCCTATCCCCCACCTCCCTCCTCCCTCCTTCTTCGCCTGACCCCTCTTCCTCATCCCACTCCTCCCTCCTCCTCCACCCTCCCCCCCTCCTCCTCTTCTTCCTCCCCTCCCTCCTTCTCCTCCTCCTCCTCCATCCTCCTCCTTCCCCCTCCCTCCTACTATTTCTCTCCTCCCTCTTCCTCACCCCCCTCCTCCTCCTTCCCCTCCTCCTCGTCCTCCCCAGATCGTGAACCCGAACAACCTGGTCCGCCACAACGCCGCGGCAGGAGGAACGCACTTCGGCTTCTGGTACCGTCTGGAGAGCGCCCCTTCAGGTCCCTCCGCCGGGTCGCCTCACTGCCCCAACGAGGCGCCCGTGGCAGGATTCTACAACAACTCGGCGCACTCCATGGGCAGGTCGGTGCGATGAGCTGGACTTTATTTGTTTATTTGTTTTAGATGCAATTCGTCGTTTGCGTTTTTTTGGGGTGGGGAATGGTGGTGGACGGGGGGGGGGGGGTGTGGGATTTGTGTGACTATGTGCGTGTTTTGTATGGTTTTGTGTGTATGTATATGTACTGTGTTTCTCCGTATATATATGTGTGCATATGTGTGCGTGTGTGTGTGCGTGTATGTGTGTGTGTGTGTGTGTGTGTGTGTGTGTGTGTGTGTGTGTGTGTGTGTGTGTGTGTGTGTGTGTGTGTGTGAGAGAGAGAGAGAGAGAGAGAGAGAGAGAGAGAGAGAGAGAGAGAGAGAGAGAGAGAGAGAGAGAGAGAGAGAGAGAGAGAGAGAGAGAGAGAGAAGAGAGATTAACAGAAATGAATGGATAAGAAAGGTGTGTGGGATATCGAGAGATAAATAGACGAGGGAAGGAGAGCTCCTATGCGATTTAATCTAACCCTATCATGATCTGCAGGTACGGTCTGTGGGTATTCTCCAACGAGGGCTATTTTCCCAAGACTGACAAGTGCGGACATGAGGACACGGTATGTAGCCTTGCCATCGTCAGCAATTACATATTTGTTGAATTTCTTATACCCACGTTCATATGTCTTTGTAAACTCGCTGTTTTACATACGTCATTGTGAATAATGCAAATACAAAATTCCAAGAGGATTTAAAGGATAGAGACAATACAGTAAATAGAATGAAAAAAATGGTTCTCGTGCAGGTGGCCCGCTGGGAGAACTTCACGGCGTGGCGGTGCGAGCGCGGGGCGGAGGTCGGAACGGGCGGGGCGCTGCAGTTCCACAATTTCGTGGTCTTGGACAACGAGAAAGCCGGCTTGGAGATGATCCAGGTCAAGGGAGGCTTTGGGGTAGATGACGGACCTGGTAAGCGCGCTGGGTTGGTGGCTTGACGGTTTGGTTGATATTTTTCATGTATTAGAGAGGAAAAAGAGAGGGATTCTAATTTCCATTTGGTCAGGAATGTGACAAACTTTGATAGAAAGGTGAAGTGTCTTTGTTATATGTTTTGAGTGTGCTGTGAGCTGCCCATTGCACGTCGCCATGCATAAGGTAAGGTAGCTTAAAAGCCTCTCCCGACAGGTATCTTCAACTCTCTGGTGGTGGGCCGGTCCGCCCTCTCCCCCGGAGACTGCAGGCGGCCCTCGAGCGGCGTGGTGGCCCCCGAGGAGCACGTGCTGACTGTGGCGGGCACGACATTCGTCAACTTCGCCGGCGGGCAGTGCGTCGCTCTCTCCGGGTGTTCCCAGTGCACGAACATCCGAGCGGGGTCTTCGGTGCGCGTCGAGGGCCTCACCTTCGTCAACAGCCCCAATAAGGTGACTATCCCGGCGGGGCGCAAGTGTTCCGGGTGTTAATATATTCGCCACGAGATCGATGTCCGCGTGCATTTTCATGGCCACGAATCTATGACTTACAGATACGCTTCAAATGGGAACACGAGACCATCTGGGAAGACGTTGACGGGTCCCTGTCTGGCAGTCCTGGCAACGTGGTGGTGGCAGACATGGGTATCCTTCCTCCCCGACGCTGCCGCAAGGAACCAGCTTTCTCCGTGAACCCGACGGTCAGAATCTTACTCAGCTGTTTTGTACCATTACCTCCGCTAAGTTGGTTATGTTTTTGGTAGCGTTGGTTAATTAGTTGGTAAGTTGGTTAGCAGGATAACTCAATAAGTTATGAACATATTTGTATGTTTTTATTTTATTTATTTACTTATTTATTTTATGTAGCAGAAGTGTGTCTTAGCCTAACTTAGATGCCTTTAGATTTTGGTGGTGATCCGGATCCAGGATTTTTCAAAGGATTCATTAGCATTACGAGATAGGGAAAACGTACGTCACCAATGTACTTGAGAAAGAGGTGATTTTAATGTAATTTTTGCCGTATTTTTTGCATCAGTTACCCCATTGCCTTGACAGAGGTATGCGTTCTCTGAGTGCTTCTAGTTTATCATCAGTCCCTCTCTGAGTCATTAATTCCTTTTCATTTTTCTTTGGCCTCGTCTGTGTCTTTGATTCCCTTTGATAGCTTCCCGAGTTGTAACAGTGTCAACGGTATTTTTCTTCATGAAAAGACAAAAGACAAATAAAAATGCTGTTATGGCATGTCTTGATTCCCAAGCACAAGAATTACCGAGGAAGAAAAAGAAAAAGAAGAAAGAAGACGAGGATGAAGACGAATACCAAGGCGAAGACAAAGAAGAAAGCGAAGACGAAGAAGGAGAGCAGTAAAAAAAGAAAAAAAAAAAAAAAAAAACGGGAAAACACAAAGAATAAAAATAAAACAAAAAGACACAAATAAAGAAAAGAAGCCAGCCCATACCCCCCCCCCTCCAACACACACCAACCTCCACCCTCCTTCTCCACAGGTCCCAGGAGCAGTCTGCCGAAGTCCCATGAAGTTCCTGCAGATCCAGATCGACGGGCGGACAATCCAGCCACCGTCTCTGAGGGCGCGGGACCTGACCGTCAGCAACAGACACGGCCAGACCAGGATTCCCTTCACAGACACGCGTCTTTCTCAGCCTTCCTGGATAGCCACCTTGTACGCCGGAGACACTTACCTGTGGGAGTTTGATTCCGCTAGCCAGGTATGCCATGGTTTAGGACTGTTGTTATTGTTGTGATTGTTGTTGTTGCTATTATTCTTATTGATATTATTATTATTATTATTATTATTATTATTATCATTGTCATCATCATCATTCATTATCATTATTATTTATTGTTATTATTATTATCATTATTATCATTATTGTTATCATTATTGTTGGTATTATTATCATCATTATTATTATTATCATCTCTATTATTACTATCATTATAACCATTATTATTATTATAATTTAATTCTCAAATATACCATACAAATAATAACAATAATGATAATATCATTATTATCATTATTGTTAGTTTGATTATAATCGTCATCGTTATTACTGTAATCATCATTATTAACATCATTATTATTATCATTATTATTGCTAATGTTAATGTAATAATTATCATTATTTTTATTCCTGTTATTATTGTGATTATCATTAACGGTATAATTCCCATTATCATACTACTGCTAGTACAATTACCAGTGTTATTAACATGAGAATGTTGTTGTTTTTAATCTTATCATATGCTTATATATTCATCCTGCAGATCCAGTTAATGTCATATCCACTGATAAAACTACCTACCTACGTTTTTTTACGTTATGACAGCACGAACATGCATGTATGTTTTCTTTATGAATATGAGTATCACATAACGAATGAATTGTACTTTTTCATAGATCACGAATCTGTCCTATCGCTGTAAGTCATCACTCCTCAGCCAAGACGATTACTTCTTCGTAGAACATCGTTTCCCACAAGATATGAACTTCTTTAGGTAAAACGAAGTGCTCAGTAATCTCACTTAAGATATCTTTCCTCTCACAAAATGCAAAACATAGAATGCTAAAAAAGTGGTATAGAATTTAAATAAAGATATTGTCGAATTTGATTATTTTATATTTAACATTCTTTTCTCTAAAGAACGACGAACGAAGAGAGAGAGATGGACGAAGATCTGCCTGACGTCGCGTCCTCTCGCCACGGAGATTATCACTGGGATTCCGACTCGCATACGGTCACCTATATTGGTAAAGCATCTGCGCGCAAGGCGATGCGCTTTTGTTTTGGACGTTAAGCAGTGGCGATTTATTATTCCGTTTTGTTTTATATTCGTATTCTTTTCTTATAGATATGTATATGTATGTGTTCATATGTAGATGAATATATAATATGTATACACATATATACATGCATCTACATTATATATATATATTATATATATATATATATATATATTATATATATATATATATATATATATATATATATACATATATATAATATATATATATATATATATATATATAATATATATATATATATATATATATATATATATATATATATATATATATATATATATATATATATAGATAGATAGATAGATATTTAGATATGAACACACACACACTCGTGCATCCGTATATGTTTATCCGTCTGTCTGTCTGAATGTATATTTGCTTTTCTTTCTTTCTCTGTTCATATATTTGATTTTTTCTTTTCAGTTAAAGGACCTTTGCCAGGAGATGTAGGCAGTGAATTTTACGATCACGATAGGGGAGTCAGCCGGATAATCGACTTTAAAGCCCAGAGGTACGGAAGCAATAATTAGATGACATAAAACACAACATAACATACTTGAACACACACGCACTCTCTCACACACACTCACTCACTCTCTCTCTCTCTCACACACACACACACAGTCTACCAGTCTATTTCTTAGTTAACTAAGCACTCCATTTCCGAGTCTATACCCTATCATATATCTTATCTACTCAACCGATTCATTTTCGTCATCTTTTCTTTATTTTTTTTCTCTCCAGATGCCGCTACGAGAATTGCGTCCCTCCCCACCGGCCCCCCCATCCCCCAACCGCCCCTTGAGCCGTCTGCTGTGGTCGGATATTGAAACGTGGAGAGAAATGCCCGTAGGCTTCGGAGGGCATCCGACCGCCGACGTGTACAGTCTTCCGGAAGAGAACGACGATGTCATCGTTCCTAAAGGCAAGTGAAGTTGTAGATTGATATAGTGGCTATGTGGTCTAATTTTAACAGTATTTTCGTTACTTTTTCAGGATTTTACATTAACATTGATAGAATCTTTGCAAAATGTCTAAACCATACCATGTACAGTAGTTACTCATAAAACAATTTTCTCACGTGAAAACTGACAAAGAAAACGAAGACATTTAAGGGAGGACAAAAACATTTTTTTTTCTTCCATATTTTCAGGAATGACTCTCATAGTAGATACCACAGCACCTCCACTCCGCAGTGTTGTCGTATACGGAACGCTAGAATTCCAGGACACAATGGATCATGTATTCCAGGCAGAGGCCATTCTTATTCAGGTGAGTATGAATGCTAGAGTAATTATCACAACAGTTTGTGTTAAAAAAAATAATGTCATTAAACAGCAAGCAATAAAAAAAGAAATAAACAAAAATACAAATAAAATGAACTTATTCATTCTACCAAGAATATGGATAAAAGTGAACTTACTCGTTTTCTTAATCCTAACCTCTCCCAGGGCGGTTCCGTAATAGCAGGCTCCTCGCCCGAGAATCCTTTCACCCACAAGCTGCGCCTAATCCTTCGAGCCTCAACGAACTCCTCCTCTGATCTTCCTATGGGCGTTGGAAGGAAGTCAATAGGTAAGGAAGTCATTGGCATGTCATGTCACGCGATGATGGTAACGCGTTTATAAATTTATTAATTATGAGAACTACATTACTCGTTCTGTTGTTTCATGTAGGTTTTGTTATGTGTGTATGTGTGTGTGTGTGTGTGTGTGTGTGTGTGTGTGTGTGTGTGTGTGTGTGTGTGTGTGTGTGTGTGTGTGTGTGTGTGTGTGTGTGTGTGTGTGTGTGTGTGTGTGTGTGTGTGTGTGTGTGTTGTGTGTGTGTGTGTGTGTGTGTGTGTGTGTGTGTGTGTGTGTGTGTGTGTGTGTGTGAGAGAGAGAGAGAGAGAGAGAGAGAGAGAGAGAGAGAGAGAGAGAGAGAGAGAGAGAGAGAGAGAGAGAGAGAGAGAGAGAGAGAAGAGAGAGAGAGAGAGAGAGAGAGAGAGAGACAGACACACAACACACACACACACACACACACACACACACACACACACACACACACACACACACACACACACACACACACACACAGAGAGAGAGAGAGAGAGAGAGAGAGAGAGAGAGAGAGAGAGAGAGAGAGAGAGAGAGAGAGAGAGAGAGAGAGAGAGAGAGAGAGAGAGAGAGACGAGAGAGAGATTAGAGAGAGAGAGAGAGATTAATATCATTCCTTTTCTTATTCATCATTCGCAGGCGTATACGGGCAACTGTCCTTGCACGGGCGTCCTCTGACCAACACGTGGGCGAAACTTGGAGCCACAGCCGCCCCCGGTGATTCTCAGCTGACTTTGGCTCATCCTGTCGACTCCAGCTGGCAAGGGAAACAGGTCCGGTGACAGTTGTGTAAACTAGATTGTACTTTGATAACATTAACTGATTATATGTTTATTTGGCATTCCTACTTACTTTGGGTCCTCAGTCCATATGTATTTACAGTGAGGAATCGACGAGTTACTATCCTATTTATTTATTTTATTTGCGTCGACGTGTAGTAAGCCCTGTGGAAGTCTTAACTTTTCAAATACTTTTTAGTAATACCAATACTCAACCCCAATAAAATTGCGAAATATCCCATTTAATCCCAAATCAACGGATTAGAATTAAATCTTTCAAATCAACAGGTGATGGTGACCTCGACGAGTGAAGAAGCGAATCACACGGAGATCCGCACTGTCACTCACGTCAACGGGGCTGTACTCACCCTTGACTCACCTCTCACTCACCAACACCTGGGTACGTAGAATGTGAATATGAATTGCCTCGATTACATTATTTTTTCATGTTATTTATATTGATAATTTCTCCTTCCGCCCAAAAAATAATATGTTATTATTGCTACTGCTGAATAATAATAATAATAAATAGTGAAAATGCTGCTGATGATTATGATATTGATATTAGTAGTGATGATGATAGTAATTGAAATAATGCTAATAGTAATAAAAAATATAATGATAATAATATGGATGCTACTATTAGTACTACTATTACTGCTGCTACTACTCCTACCACTAATGATAATAATAATAATAATAATGATAATAATAATATTGATGGACATAGCAATATCTATAATGATAATGATGATTATGATAGAAATAATCATGATAATAACAATAACAATGATAACATTAATGATTATCCATCTCACTCCCAAAACAGGCGCCCGCCACACCTTGAGCGACGGGAGCTTCGAGTATGACCTCAAGGGCGAGGTGGGCGTCCTTACCCGCAACATCGTGATCGAGGGCGAGGTCGTGGCGAGCGAGAAGGACTTCGGCGGGAGTGTGAGGGTGGCGGAACTCACGGCCGAGGGCGAAGTGTATCGAGGTGTGTGTTTTCCTCTGTTTTGTGTGTGTGTTGAAGGGTTAAGAGACAGGAAGTTGTGACTTGATTTGGTGATTAAGGTTATTTGTGTCTTTTTTTTTTGTTGTGATGATGTTTGGATTTTGTTTGTTTGTTGGTGTTGCGATTGTCTGCGTGTGTTTGTTTGTGTTTGGTGTGGTGCTGTGGTTAAGTGGGGTTAATGTTGGTTAATAGTTTTAAATCATGGGGATGTGGTTAATCTTGTGTCGCTCTCATTTCCTAATCGATTAATTCATTATGATTTATTCTATTTCTGAACTGATCTGATATTGTGATTGATACTGTGTTATTTCCCCGTCCATTAATCCATATGCTATGATGTTTTACGTTGAATTTGTTACAATATCGTGATTCATACTCTCGTTCCTCCATTGGCTTTATAACCTCGTTTATGTGGCCTCTCCCCCGTGCTTTAAATCTTTCATTCCTTTTCTCCTTCATTTATCCTCATCCTCCCTTCTCCCCTCTTCGCAGGACAAGCACAATTATCCGGAGTAGAGCTGAAACACATGGGCCAGGAGGGTTTCACGGGGCAGCAGGACCCGAGGTTTTCGCTGGTCTTCCTCGGCCTCGGACCTCGCGGGGCTTCCAGCTACGTGAGGCAGTGCAGTTTTAACACGAATTATAACACGGCCGTCGGGATTCTGGCGTCCAGTGGCGTAGCGGTGGAGGAGTGTGTCGTGTATAGGACTGTGGGCTCAAGTACGCTTTTTTGATATAATGTTTTTTTACATAGCGATAAAAATGTTTCTTTTTTTTCTTTCTCTCTCTCTCTCTCTCTCTTTCTTCCATTGATAGCTTGTGCCAGTCAAAATATCTATCCATTCTTTGATTTATCTGAGGATGAAATTACTGACACGTATATCATCCCTAATAAACAATCAATCAACCAACTAACCAACCAACCAAATGAACAAACAACAATACAACCACACAAACAAAACAAAAAACCCATATCCCCCTCACCCTCTAACCCACCTCCTCCCTCCCTCCCCTCTCCCCCCCCCCCCAGGCATCAAGGACCAAGGCAGCGGCAACGTCTTCAAGAACAACTTAGTGTCGGTCATGCTGTTCCCGGGGACGTACGGCGGCCGCTGGGAACCCGAGAACAGGGACTGGCACGCGGGCTTTGACCTGGAAGAAGCCTCGGGCACGGTGCTTCGCGGGAATGTGGTCGCGGGTAAAGTTCTGTGGCTTCCGTCTGTCTCGAGGTCGTGGATGTCTGTCTGTATGTGTAGAGAGGTAGATAAAGAGAAAGTGAGAGAGATAGAGAGATAGAAGGAGAGAGGTAGAGAGACAAGGAGATAGAGAAATAGTGATATAGGGATAGATAAGTAGAAAAAAGATAGATAGATAGATAGATAGATAGATAGATAGATAAATATATATAATTATATAAATTGGTACAAATATTGATAGATAGATAGACTGAGATAAATAGACACACACACACACACACACACAACACACACACACAC